GTCACCTACATCATGTCATTTGCTTCCCACAATAGAACTGTAACGTGGGAGGACAAGATGAGAAAACCAAGGTGCAGAGAACAGAGTGTGAGCAGAAGCCAGGTCAGCAGTCCAGTGACCTGACTTTTGGTCCCAGCCTTTCTGCAATTGCACTCTGCCTTCTCCAGCTTCCATCTCACTGAAACTGTGTGCTCACTTTGAAGCTCTTCCCCTGTGGGCTGATGCATTTGTTCACATCCTGGGCATGTATCGCGGTCCAAGCAATATTCTTCCTCTTGGATTTATCACAGTAAATATCCCAATAAATAACACTGTCCTCCCGTTGTTCATCGATTTGATCAAGCGGGCACCAGTAACATCTCACAACAAATTGTGACACTTGTTGTTACTGTTTTTGGCATATTGAATACTCTCAGTAGCTGGCGGGGCTCTCTGAGAGGGGAGGAGGAATCGAATAAAAGAAAACAAAAATCATCTCAGGAGTGGAGTGATAGTACAGCAGCTGGATGCTTGTCTTGCATGCAGCTGACCCAGGCTCAATCCCCAGCATCCCATGTGGTCTCCTGAGCACCACCAGAAGTGATTCCTGAGTGTAGAGACAGGAGTCTCCCCTGAGCATTGTCAGATATGGCCCAAAAACCAAAATACCCCATCTCTTAGTAAAGAGACCTAGAGCATGGCAGTAGTGAAGAGTATATACACACACATACATACATTCATACACCTGTGTACTCACAAACACATACATGTATGAACACATGATCACACATATCCACACACTCACATATACTCACATACACACATATAGACTCATGCACACTCACATATGCACACATACGCTTACATTCACAAACCCACAAGACTCTCACACATGAGACCAGATCAGGGTTTGAATTCCAACTTCCGTTTGTTTTCGAGCTGTGTGATCTTTGTTGCATTGCTCAAGCCCTCAGAATTTCAGTTTCCTCCTGAGGAGACAAAAACGACAGCACTTAGCTGAGGGGCACTGGAGGATGATTAAACAAACTGGTACCCATTAAGTGCCTGAAAAACTGTAAGCACATGGCGAGTTCTACATAAGTTTGTTATGAGTCTATCCTAACCTTATGGCGAGACTGAAAAAACATTAAACATATTGCAAGGATTTTAAAATGCCTTCGAATACTTGTAGCAATTTTTGGATTTGTGCTTATCTCTTCCTGGCTTTTTCTTCTTCACAGAAACTTCTCTTCTCTTATTGGTGCCCTGTCTCCACCTGTCTCTTACCAAGAAGATATGGGATGTTGTAAGATTCTATGGCCAGTTTTCAAAATAGACATTGGAGCTTGTCTTCTTTCAGAACTTTCTTCTTTCTGCTCCATGCAGCACTGAACACATCTCATTGTGTCCCTGGTGCAGAATTTAAATTTTATATCTGTCAAAGGATGATACAATAGAAGTCTTGAGAATAGGTTTGTGATTTGGAGACGTTTAAGAAGTCAGGCACTAGGCTTATGCCTCTGCTTTGACAGACAACACTTTGAATATTCAAGACTGAAACCCTCCACATCTCAGAAAGAAACATGCCCTCGCCATTAAACTGTGCTTACTTTAAGACCCCACTCTCCACCTCAACCCCACAATCATCCCAGGACACTGGTAGGGTCGATGACATTTGTTTTCACTCCAGAAGATTTTCTTACACATGTACCAAGGCAGATCAAGCACTAGTATCATTTTTATTGAATTTTTAGTTTTGTCTTAGCAGAGGTTGCTTTTCATTATTTTTAAAAATTTATTTATTTTTGACTTTTTGGCTCACACCTGTCGATGCACAGGGGTTACTCCTGGCTCTGCACTCAGGAATTACTCCTAGCAGTGCTCAGGGGACCATATGGGATGTTGGGAATCGAACCCGGGTCAGCCGCATGGAAGGCAAATACCCTACCCGCTGTGCTATCGCTCCAGCCCAGAGTTTGCTTTTTGTTCTGAACAAGAAGTGTTCAAAACTAAAAGTGCAAAAATTGCCAGCATAACCTTGTAACTCTTGGCTTGAGGTGAGAGTTTGGGTGTTGGCTGTTAGCTGGATTGACCATATGTCTTGATTTGCCCAGGACAGTCTCAGTTTATGTTTGCCGTCCTGGGGTGGGGTGGGGGGATTATTAATAGTTCCCTCCTTTCATGCTTATCCAAAAGTATCCTGGCTTGGCTGTTAAGTCAATGGGTGATACCTGTGGTCCACAAAAAGCCTCCTCTATGAGCTGTGCAGAGATGGACCCTAGAGACCAGCAGATGACCTCATTTAAATACTGAATCTAGAATTCTTCCAACATGCTAAAATACAACATATGTTGCACTTGAACAGAGTTCATCAAATATCCCTGTGCACCTGGCATTTCCTTCCAATTTTCCTTGCAGAGAAAATGGGCCAATGTGGTGGTGAGCAGAAGGGGAGAAGGACCCTCGCAGGCCAAGGTTGTGAAGGGCTGCAGCCCTCCCCACCCTTTTCTCTAAGCAGTGGTGGGTCGGGCTGTGATGTAAAGGTGACAGAACTGTCATAAACAACTGTCATAAACCAACTGTGTTTCACGGGCCCGCACTTAGTCTTCACCCTTGTGTCAGATTTTCTAATTTTATTCTCCAGTTCAATTTTTAAAAAAGTTTCTGGTTGTACCATCCTTCACTGATTTTGAAAACTAATAGAAAACTGATTAGTAGATGAGCACATAGGCCCAGGAGACCAGTGGATCCTAGGAAGTTTGATGAAGATGAAGCACACTGGCCCGCCACACCTCTCACAGGAAGCTGGCTGCCTTAATGGGGCCCTGTGGCCTCACATTCCCCCTTTCCCTTCCATGAAGTGAGGCCTACGGAATATTGGTGGGTGGGCAGGGAGAGATACTCTTTAATACTGGATGAACCGCAAAGCTTGGGCTCAGCAGTCGCCTGTTCTGTTGGTTTGGTAGCTGGGTTTTTCTGGGCATCAGGGGACCAAGAGCAAGACCTACACCCATTATCAAGTCTAAGCATGATGGGAGTCAGGAGGGTGTAGTGAGACTCTGAGCAGATAGACTTATGACAAGGGGCCTCCTGTCCCAGCCTGTGGGACCTGGTCACTCCCTGTTCACTGGTCTGTACTGCCCTGGAAGAATTCCAGAAGGTAGAGCCACAGGATAGGGGAGCTGCTTGTATATGCAATGGGGGAAAGTAGGGAATGTCTCTGCTTAAGAAAGATGTTGAGTGGACAACAGTTAAGGTCAGTTTTTTGTTTTGTTTTGGGGCCATACCCAGCGGTGCTCAAGGATCACTCCCGGAAGGGCTGAGGGAACCATATGACCTTCGAAGTATCAAGCCTGGGACAGTGGTGTGCAAGGGAAATGTCTTCCCCACTGTTTTGTCTCTCTGGCCCCCAGGGCTGCTCATTTAAGAGCACCTGCCACCCCCTCTTCGATGGGCTAGGGAAAGTAGAGAGAGGGAGGGAGAGCAAGCCTGAAACCTCACTCAGGGGCTGGGTGAAAGGGTCCAGCAGACAACTTTTGAGCCTGCAAACTTTTGTGCATGCAATTCTTTGAGGGGAGTGGGGGGCCCTGGCACTTTAGCTGCTTGCTCTCCCAATTTTAAGAGGTGAAAACAATGGTCAAGCAGGTACATATGGAATGGAAATGAGTCCCAAAGACCAGGATACCATCGTGGGGTAAACATCTTGGACTCTGTTGCTGAGTTCCGGTGCTCCCTCCACTTCTTGAGGGCAGAGCAGAAGTGAGAAGTGAAGGTGCCACCTTTAGAGGTTGCTGCTGGGGAATAGGATGGAAGCATCTTCCCTCTTCAGCCAGGCTTCCTGGCATTCTGGTCTCCACATTTCACAAGTATCAAGCCCTTCCTTTTGTGAGCTCATAGCAAATGTTCATTTATTTATTTATTTATTTTGAGGGGTATGGCATTCGTGGTGATGCTCAAGGATTACTCCTTACTCTGTGCTCAGGAATCACTTCTGGCGTTGCTTGGGGGACCATAGGGGGACCACATGTGCTGCTGGGAATTGAATCCAGATCTGCGGTGTGCAAGGCTAGCAACCTACTTGCTCTACTATCATTCCAGCACTCTCACCATCCCCAAACATTTATTCTGATCCCCCATGCTGGCAGTGCTTGCTACATGCATCTGAGATGTGTGCACCCACCACCCTTGACCAAGCCCCCCACTTCCACGGGGAAGTTGGCGAACCAAGGCTTAGAGAAGTATGGGAAGGCTAAGGAGGGAGAGGGGGCTGACACCTACCAGGCTGGGCCTTCCCCTTCTGCAGCTGACCACCTAGAGAGCTCTGTCCTCTCGCCTAATCTGGCTATGTGTGTGGCCAGGATGGGACCCTGAGCTTGAATGGTTCTCACCAAGGGCCTTAGAAGTCTCCATGCTGGCCCTGCAGCTACCCAGAAGAACTAACCACCAAACAAACGCCATCACATGGGCTGGAGGTGTGTGTGTGTGTGGCGGGGCGGGGGAACAACAGCCCAACACTCTCTCCTCCCACTCCCATCCCAGAAAAAAGACAGGCAAAAAAAGGAAGAGTGGTCTAATGTGTAGACTCCCACCCTGTAAGAAGTTGGAACCCCAGGCCCTGTGGGCTGGCCAGAGCTCTACATAAATGTGCATCTGGGCCTGCAGATTCCCTGGCCAGCTCCCAAGGGCACCACTCCCCTGGGAAAGGCTCTGGCATTTTCTTGCGTTTTCTGGCTGTCACCCACACATGGTGCAAGGTTGAAGAAAGACATTTATTTGTAAAACCAATTCCCCATGGAAGGAAGAGAGACCCACTCCATAGAAGGCCAGCCTGTGATCGCGATCATTCTGAGGCCCGCATGCAAACATGGGTGGAACCGAGGGAGAAACAAACAGCGGCCAGCCGCCCACACCGCTTCCGCTCCTGCCAACAGAGAAGCAGAAAGTCCTTCCCACCGGAGAACATGGAGGTGCTGCCGGAGAGGTGCTGGGAGAAGGCAATTTGGTCTGACATCCATGAAGAAGCTGTCAGAAGCCTTTGTTTCTAGGCGTCCTCTTCTAGTCTGTGGCTTGTGTGCATCCTACCTGACTATCAACTCACATGGTCCTCCAGTCTCCGGAGGGTGGGCCTCCTCACATGCCCATCCTTATACTCTGAATGATCTGGAAGATAGCTGAAACAGAAAATCAAAACAACAGCTCAGGGCTATGTGGAGCAATAGCATGGTGGATAGAGCATTTGCCTTGCACGCAGCCGACCCGGGTTCAATATTCCCAACATCCCATCTGATCCCCCGAGCACCGCCAGGAGTAATTTCTGAGTGCAGAGCCAGGAGTAACCCCTGTGCATTGCCAGGTGTGACCCCCCCCCAAAAAAAAAGCAAAAAAAAATTATAAACAACAGCTCAGCTCTAGGCACGCCCAGCAGGGACACCCAGCCTGCCTTGAGCCTAGCTTCTGATCCCCAGCCCCTGACATGTTAGCACACAGCTGATTAGATATTTCCTAACAAGGAGTTAAGTTAACAAGAGGTCAGTGAACTTCTCTTAAGAGGCAGCCATGCTCCCTCTGTTGATGGATGCTTGGGGGATTTATAGATAACGCCTGCTAATTCCTCCAGGAGTTAGGGCCAGAAATCGCTCAGCCAATGAAGGAGTTGGCACCCCCCTTTCCAGATCTGATGTGGTGCTGGGGAGTGTAGTCCAGCCTGCCTCTGGGCCTGGGGCTCATTTCAGAGGTTTGTGAGGCTGCAATTTTTTTGTAGGATGGCCAGTCTCTGGCAAACCAGCAACCACAGACCAGGAATCATGGCCCCTGGCTGCAGAGTTCTGTCTGTTGTGATTCTGCCCTATGACCACTGTCCCCAGCAATACGGACCCTGTCAAGATCTGTCTTCACTCAGTGTACACCTTTCGTGCTACACCGAAGGGGTGGGTAGCCTATACCTTCACAGACAATTTCTGGAATTTGATTTCTGGAAATTCACTTATTTTGGTGAGAGCTAGTTAAAGGTTCCCACCCTGGTGGGTCCATTGAGCTTACACATCACTGGGAGACAGGAGTCCAATTTCTTTTTCACCTCCACCCAGCAGGTACTACAGGTCAGTCTTAACAAAGGTGATATTAATATTAGTGATAGCAATTACCTTGTGTTGAAGGATTTTTTTTTTGAGGGGATGTTGGGAATAAGCGTGTTTAATCAGCTATCAAAATAAATAGAGCTTTTAGGAGCCTAGTCCCTGCTAGCCTTCATTAAGGCATCCTGGGATAGATCCACAAAGCTCCCTACATGACCTCCATCAAAGGGGCTTCCAGACACTCATGAAACAGTATTGAACCATTGCAATAGCTAAGGTTAGTGACCACAGCCCTGTGCAGGCCTGGGACTTTGTGGATACAGAGCAAAGTCATACGTTAGTCCCAGAGGGATTCTTCTCGGGCAGTTTGGAAAGGCAGACAAAGCCCTTGTGCTCCATTTCCCATTGCTTTCTGGAAAATAAGCTGTGCACAATGAGTATATATATATATATGTATATATATATATATATATATATATATATATATATTTGCTTTTTGGGTCACACCCGGTGAGTCACAGGGGTTACTCCTGGCTCTGCACTCAGAATGTACTCAGAAATTACCCCTGGTCATGCTCAGGGGACCATATGGGATGCTGGGAATCAAACCCAGGTCGGCCGTGTGCAAGGCAAATGCCCTACCTGCTGTGCTATCACTCCAGCCCCGCACACATCGAATATTGATACACAGCACCATGATTTAATATTAACTTTTCACCAATGCTTGGTGTGACCACAATGAAAAATAGATCCTGCTGAGACTATGCCACACAGTCCCGGAGAGTGCCCTGCATTCAGTCTGACACCCAAACAGTTCTGGTAAACTGTGCTTTGGGGCTTTCATGTCAGCTTATTGGTTTTTGTCTCAGTTTACTATCTGGTCAATTCTCTGGTGAGATCACACCAGTCAGAAGTGGGCTTTGTCTCTTATGATGTTGCTACACACTAAGCTGTTAGAATAAAATTAGAGAATGCCAGGTGTGTGTGGTCCAAGGAACTAAATACACTAATAGGTGATTTAACTACATGTGATATTTTATTCTGGTTGTGCTAGAAGTTTTTTTTTTAAGTTTGGGTCATACCTGGCAGTGCTCAGAGGTTAATCCTGGCTCTGCACTAAGGCATCTTTCTGGCAGGGCTCAGGAGACCATATGGGATGCCTGGGATTGAATCTGGGTAGAATGCATGCAAGACAAGCACCCTATCCACAGTACTACTGCTCTAAATTTCATATTGTAAATTTCTGAATGTATCTTGACAGGAGAAGTTGCTAGATGAATGAGAAAGTACCAACACACAGTGCAAAATAAACTTGCAGATAGCTGACATGTCTGTCCTCTCCCCACTCCCCAAAGCTGACAAGGAATGAAAATTAAATAAACAGGCTCTATCTAGCTGAACAGGAGTGCTGGTTCAACAACATTAGGAAAAAAAATATTTACATCTATCATGCCTCAGGCTTTGTTCCTGGGATCAGGGAACTGTCCCTGATCTTCACACACAGACTTTGGAACAGAATGTTAGGTTCCAAGGGAGAATGTTAGGTTCGAATCCCTGTTCTTCACTGGATAAACTATTTAACTCCATCAAGTCTGTTTCCCTCTTGTCTAAGTTGAGGACCGTGGAACATGGAACTTGCAGTGCCGTCACGGGAGTTAAATGATAGGACATGCACGAGATTCCTCACACATCAGGGATTCAATGTGTGGGGGCTGTTACTATCGTTACTGTAACTGATTCTACAGCAGTGACTTCCATGTATGGATATGAAGACCAGAGTGCAAGTTCTAGCTGCCTAGTGAGCTTGGGGAATTTCCTGAACTGTACTGGATCCTGACTTCTCTCATTATAAAACTGGACGTAACAGGGCTATATGCCTCTCAGAGAATCTGTCAAGCTATTAAGAGTATCCCAACCGCATGGGCAGAGCCTGGCAAGCTCCCTGTGACGTATTCAATATGCCAAAAACAGTAATGGCAACAGGTCTCATTCCCCTGACTCTGAAAGAGCCTCTAATCGTTGGGAAAATGAATTAGAAGAGGCTGCTAAAATCTCAGGGCTGGGAGGACGTTAATGGCACCCGCTCAAGTAAATCAATGAACAACGGGATGACAGTGACACAGTGATACAGAACAGGGCTAGAGCAATAGTGCAGAGGAGCAGGCCTTTGCCTTGCACATGGCTGACCTGGGTTCGATCCCCAGCATCCCATATTGGTCCCCGAGCAACACCAGGAGTAATTCCTGAGCACAGAGCCAGGAGTAAGCCCTGAGCATCACTGGATGTGACCCAAAAGCAAAACAAACAAGCAAGCAAACAACCTCCCCCCAAAACCTGTACATAATAATGTTCCTCAAAGGATTGGTAGGAGTAAATATAATAAAGCTAATGAAAGACCTGCCTGAGGCCGGGGATAGGGCTGAATGATAAAAGTGCATTTGTTGTATGTGTGAGATTTGGGTTCTATTCCAGGCACTGCAAAAAAAATAAATAAATAAAACAATAACTTAAACTCTTGGGGTTGGGGAACTAACTTGGAGGCCTGGGGCTTATGATTTGCTTGCAGGAGGTCGGGGTTCATTTCTAGCACTGTGTGAGCACACTGGGAGAGGCTCCAGGGCACAGAGCACCCCTAGCACCAATGGGCGTGACCCCAAGGCCCCTTCCCAAATTTAAAAAGACTTTCCTGTGATAGATGCTAAATCAATATTAACCCCTCTTAAATTGTATCCCTAGACAAAAATCAGTAGGATATAGACCTATAAGAGCCTGTTTAGACCATGATAGGACATCAAGCTAACTTGACTGCACAGTGTAAGGTAATCAAAAAACTCCTTCATTTTTTCCTTAGGAACTACTCCTAATTTCTCTAGTGTTTCAGACAAACTATGCTAGTCTCAGAGATGCAACACTAAGAAGTAAGTTAATTAAAGCAACTTACCCATACCTGAGTCTCCTGACCCTAATTGAATCCATGAATTCACTTGTAAGAATGTGATAGCCCTTAAGGTGTGTACTGGTGATCCCTTAAAATGGAATCTTCTTAGAGAAATGGCTTAAATAAAGTCTTAGCTTAAGCTCACCATTTGTTTGTCTCCACATCTAAGGTATTGGAGAGTTGGTTGAGTTATGGTTCCTTTTCCAGTTGTAGCAATGTCCTGGAGAAGGCTTCACTACCTCCACGATGACTCAAGTGTGATTCTGTGTGCCTGCCCAGAGCAACCCACAGGGAGACCCCAGCTCCCAAATGCAGGCTTTCCAAAGCAGCACCAGAGGAAGAGAGTCAAGAGCGGTTTCAAAGTGGGGAAGGAAGTGGAGAGTCTAGACCCTGATATCTCTACAGTGGGTGAACAAAGCTGAGAAAACAGCTGAGTGGGCTACAGGAAAAGAGGCCATGGGCAGGCGAGACAGCAGAATGGAGAGGTGCCAAGGAAGGGGGCGGGGGCAGACTTTCCAGGTCAGGGCATCACAAGGTTCTGAGAAATGCAGGCTAGAGCAGGAACCAGGGGGTCCCCTGAGCCACTGCGCTCTGCCACCTGCATTTCAGATCCTGGCAGTGTGCAATCCGTCTCTTAGCCATCACCTGCTTCCTCTGAAAGAGGCTTTCACTAGGCTTAATAGGCAAGAACGACTCCCACTCAGAAACCAAAGCAACCTGAGCAATTCTCCTTGACTCCACCCTGCCATCAGCAGATGACTCTGCTACCATTTTCAACGGCTATTTTCTTACCTTCCTCCCCCGCTCAAGTCACTGCATTCCCGCTTCGGCTCATCTCACTCCCTTGAAACATCTCTTAAGAGCTAAAGTGACAGATGACATTTCCATGGCCCTCCACCCAAGAGGCCTGCTCCCGCCTCTGCTGGCCTTCCTCCTCTACTCGTTCTTGCTGAGCTCTTTCTCTTCTCAACTCTCCCTGAGCTTGGCCTCTGTGACACTCGCCTTTCAGAAGTGTTAGTTTCCTCCTTCCCTCTGGATCCTGCCTCGAACACGTCTTCTGGAGGCATCCTCCTCTCAGGAACATGAGACAGGAATGCCATTCAGTGCACATTTTCGCATTCTTTTCATTCTCTTCCTTCTCCCTGGGCCGTCTCATGCT